GTATTTTCTCTCTTCTCTGCTTTTTCTGCTTCTTGCCATCACCAACCTACTGATGTCATTGGCAAGATTTCACCATAAAACCTCCATTGTAGACGTATGTCCACTATTGCTGAGATTGGGTGGTGAACAATATCAAATATCAGCGAGATCAAGTATCAGCGAGATCAAGTATCAGCGAGATCAAGTATCAGCGATTGGTGTGTGCGACTGATTATTATCACATTCCACTCCTCACAAGCACACAAATAGCCAGTGAATAGAAGGCTCGAGGACCTCAGAGTCAGTCAACAAATTGTGTAGAATCGATGTATTTGGTGGTAACTGGGAACTGAAATCAGATCAGAAGCAGCTGTGTTGTGGGGCATTTGGGGCATCGCAACTCTGGCTGATGGCTGTTTGGTTGAGAAGATGCAACCCATCCAACCAATTCAATTGGTTCGACTGGTTTATTCGCTTGGAGAACCAGTTTTCGATGGAAATGAAGAAACAATTGCATTTATCAAATCCAAGCAATGCTTTTTATTGTTCTATTATGTTTTCATCACCAATTTTTTTTTACTTTTCCTAGGCTCTATGTATTTCAGTAATTATTATAGTTTTCATTGGAACAAAAAACCTCGGTAAACTATTAGGAACTATTTAATATAAAAAAAGATTGAAATTATGCCATTTTGTTATGAGCAAAAAGAGAAGTTTTTATCTCAAACTAAATCGATTTGGTATCATAAACTACATGATTAATGTTTTAATATCATAAATAAGATATTCATAATTGATTTAGTCAAAATTTGGAAGTAAACAAACGATTTCTACGTGTATTTTCTTACAAACAAAAATCATTATACATTGAAATAAAACATGAAAAATAACTAATAATACAACCCCAATTCAATAGAAACTTAGAATAACAGCAGCAAACAATAGAGATGTGGAAAAATAGAAAAATGCTAAAAACTTCATATAAAATGTCCCAACATGAAAATAGTTATAAATAATTGAAAAAAAAAGAACTGAAAAATAACAGGTTAATTAACTAAAACAATAAACATTCAAATTCAAATTCAAATTCAAATTCAAAATTAACACAAGCTAAGCCAAATACTAACACCAAATTAGTGAGTCTAACAATAATAAAAGCAATCGTCATCTGCTTCTTTTTCTAATAATTTTCTGTAGTAATCAAAATCCCTATCATAATTGAATATAATTAAATAAGAATATGTTAAGATAATTCCAATGGTACTTATCAACAATATTTTGTTTGATAATACGATAATTATTAAATTTTGAATATATTCAAAAAAACTGCTCAATTTTAAAAGCGTGCTAACATTTGATTCAGAATTGGTATGCAATTTTTTATTATCGAGCAGATTGTGTTTAACAGAACCATTTGATGCTGGATGGGCTATTTTATTAATTTCTTGAATTGGTTTGTTTTTGATAACAATATCTGAAGGTATTTTATTTTCATTTTCATTTTCATTTTCATTTTCATTTTCAACTTCAACTTCAACTTCAGCCTCATCTTCGCTGCTATTATAATTAATTAATGATACAATTTTATTTGAATTATTTTTCAGTTGATTTATAGGGCGATTAGTATGATATTGATTAGCGTGATTATAGCTTTTTTGAGAGGGTTTTTTATTTTCTTTCAATATTGAGTCATTATCAATTGTATTAGATTTAAGGATTGAATCGGATTTTTTTGAATTCATCTCTTCAGAAGTATTTAGAATAGATTGAATGGTGTCATTATTTTTTGATACTATATTATTATTACTAGCACTATTATTGTTGTTATTATTATTAGAAAGTTTATCATTTAGAAAATTAATTTTTATAAGTTCTTCAGGAGAAAATTTCACGTTATTTAAATACTGTCTTAAATAATTTAACTGTTCCAAATTCAATTCATTTGGGCCAGTATTATTATTATTATTATTTGGAATAGTATTTGGAATATTTACTGTTGAAGCATAGACTGGAACTGCTTCATAAAAAATCTGATTTGAAGTTGAATTTTCAGTGGACATGTTAGCATTTGTTGAGTTTATTGAATTGATTGAATTTATGGAGTTATTAGATTTAATATTTGAATGATTAAAAGAGGAGTCAGTAACATTATATGAATCGAATTTATCTGGTTGGATGGAATTGGAGTGATTATTTTGAATTTTCGTATTATTTTCAAGTAATGAGTTTGTTAAAAAAGAATTTGATTTATTTTGAGATTTTGGAGAACTATATGCGATTGGAGGATCATTGGTTGGAGTTTCAAATTGTGAATTTTCATATATATTGTCATTATTATTATTATTATTATTATTATTATTATTATTATTATTATAAGGTTTTAATATGGATTTTAAAGGTCTTTTATTATTAATTTGATTTAAATCTTGATTTAAACTCAAATCTTGGTTAATATAATTTTGCTCATTAATTTTTTTTTGAAGTTCATAATTATTTAAATGATTTAAATGATCTGCGTTATTTGAACTGTTATTTTTTTCATTATTATTATTAAAAGAACTATGCCGTTTATTGATAAAATTTGATAAGGAATTTATGTCAAAGAAAACCTTTTTCTGATTATTTACGTTATTATTCATGTTATTATTGTTTTTATTATTCATTTTATTATCGTTATTACCATTATTATTAATAATATTTTTAGAATTGGCATAAAGATTTTTTTTATATTTGAGTAATGAAGGAGGATTCTTTGAAATTTTTTGCTTCAAGTTATTATTATTATTTTGTTTGAGACCATCAGAATTTAATTGATTGTCTTTATTAATTGTATGAATATTATTATTTTTGATCAGGCCTTTATTATTGTTAACAGATGTTGGTAATGGAATTGGATCACCTAAATATTTCCTTGATTTTTTTTTGTTTACATTTAAAAGTGCATAGTTGAGGTTATTATTCAAACTGGATAGTTTGGTAACGTTGGTTTTATTAGAGTTGTTAGCTGAATCAATATTATTGTTTTGATTTTGATTTTGATTAGTTTTGTTTTGAAATTGAATATTATTTGTATTTCTATGAATCTCCATGATTCGATTCAAGGTGCTTTCTAGAGTCTTGTAATTTGTGGAATTGCCGTTAGTGGTTTGTTTCGTATTATAGGGCCCATTGACACCATTTTTGAGGAAAGTGATGTTGGTGTTTCTGTCAGAAATGAGAATATTGGGATATGGGTTATTGTTAACATTCATTCATTAACTGGATCATTAAATGGTTTGTGGATGGTTCAAAAGCAGAAAACGCAGCAGAGAGACGTGGAACGTGGGAAGTGTTGCAGTTGCTAGAACAGAGACAGATGTTGACAAGTGCTGCTGTCTGGTCGTGGGATGTTCAGCTCTCCAGTTCTGTGCTGTTGGAGTGATATTCAATGGTTATTGTTCCATTCTATTGTTGTGTTGTTGCTCCATTGTTTATTGTTGTTATTTGGCGTCGCGTCTCTCACGCGTGTGAAAGCGTGTGTGGAAGTGCGTGGGAAAACAGCATATCACATGCCTGGCTAGCGTAATGGTTAACGCGTCTGACTTCTAACAGCTGAATAGTGTTAAGTCATCAGAAGATTGTGGGTTCGACTCCCACGTCGGGTGCTTTTTAGTTTTTTACCTTCACCAAGCTGAAATATTTCACAGACTCTCAGAAACAGCTTCTTTGTGGAGTCGTTTTGTTGGTTTTTGGCTGGTTGTTCGCGATAAAAAGTAAGAATGTCTGATTTGATTGATTTCAACAGGAACGATACTAAGCAATTATCTCACTCCAGCAAACGTCGTGCTTCCAGTGTCTCTGGCAGAAACAGCACAGCAGGAAACAGGTCTGGCGTAGGATTGAGGCACAGGTCCAGGTCCAGATCAAGTTCTAGAGATAGAAATAGAAATAGAAATAGAAACAGGGATGGTTACAGGAGCAGACGCAGCGACAGGAACACCTCATATAATGATTACAGCAGAGGTGGCAACAAAGAGAGGTATGACAGCCATTACGATTCAAGAGAAGTAAATAGAGGAAGGTATACTTCAAGATCCAGATCCAGATCCAGATCAAAATCTATCTCAAGATCAGGATCAAAATCAAGATCAGGATCTTTCTCAATGTCGAGATCTAGGTCCAGGTCAGGATCAAGATATAGTACAAATTATAAAAGTTATAAATCAAATAAAAACTTTTCAAGATACAGTGATTCTAGGTCCAAAAATTCTAGGTATGATTCAAGGAATTACTCAAGATATGATTCACGATACAACTCGAGATATGATTCGAAACCAAATTGGAGACATGATAAAAAATATGATAATCCATCTTCTCATTATAATAAAGATCGATATGGAAGAAGATATTCAAGATCTCCATCTCCCAAAAGATACTCATCATCTAAAAACCGTAACAACACATCTTTCAATCCTTCATCGAAACTGAAACCAGCATCAACATCAACATCAACATCAAAATCATTATCCAGATCTCTCTCCAGGTCTCCAGTAAGATCAAGATCAAGATCAAGATCTCACTCCAAATCTAACCATAACGCTTTAATTTCAAATCAAAAGGAAATTCTTCGCGATAAACCAAATTTTAAATCCTCTGGTTTATTACAAAAGGAATCAAGCTACATCTCTCAAATAAACAATCAATCCAATCAGCCTCATACTAACATACAAAATATCATTAAAAATACTACATCTGTTAAATATAATGAACCGGCTGATTCAATTATTCCTCCAAATACCTCTTATTACTATTTATTTATCTTTAAAAACGCCATCCAATATGAAAATGATAATCATGATGACAATGACAATGACGATGACAATGAAAAACAAAAGGACAACCAAAATCAAAATCATCTACATTCCCCTAGTAGCAAAATCAACCTAAGTAACAATCACACTTCCTACAATTTATTTGGCAGAGACCAAAATCTAGCTCATATTCTCTTAAATCATGAATCTTGCTCAAATCAACATGCTGTGATCCAATTCCGAAAGATTCCAATCAATTCTAATAATACTTTTAATAGCGATGTTTCTGATAATTTTTCAATCAAACCATATTTAATCGATCTAGAATCTACCAACAACACCTTTTTAAACGATAAAATTATACCTCCAAGTAGATATATTGAACTAAAAAATCAAGATATAATAAATTTCGGCGATTTACCCGATGACTATATCTTTATAACTGACCAAGTTTAAATATACTACACGCTATATATTTTATAAACTTTTATTTAGAATTAGAATTAGAATTAGAATTCTAATTATACCGATACATTTTCTTATAAATCAATGAATGTTTTCTCTCTGGTGTTTTTAGTGTTTTCTTTCCTTACCACTAAACACTCATAGTTTCATTAAACATCTAGTGTTTATTATGAAAATGATATATCATATATTACTAGTTTTGAGTACCACCAAATCTTGCAACAAAATTTTCACCAGTAAATTTGAGTTAAAAATAACAGACAAATTGAATGTTTTATGTTTTATGTTTTATGTTTTGAGATTTAACTTTTTCAAGTTTTTTTAGCATTTTTAGCTTTTCACCTTTTCCATCTGAAAAATCATGATATTTATCTGGTTTGAATTAATGACCAATACCAATAAAAACTTCAAATCTGAGACTTGTGTTGCTTTTTAGTAATTTGCGACAGCAAATTTCAAAAAATTACCAGCTAAAGATCTCCTACTTTTTCCAATTTTTACTTTTTTTCATTTGTTTTTATCAGTTTTCAGTTGTTTTTTTTATTAATTTTCTTGTCTTTTTATCAATTTTCTTTCAAACTCAATCAAAATGGTCGAATAAATCAAAAATATCAAATGAATCCCACCAACCCTTCAGAAATATTCGTACCTGATTTCTTGAAACAATTTATTAATAATTAATTTATAATAAATTAATAATCAATTTTTATTTGATTGATATCTCATTTATAACTAATTTGTAATTGGCTTAGTTTCTCAATTATAGTTTCTAAATTATTAATGAAATACTTTTCCCAGACTCAATTTTACTCGCTTATTACCAATTAATCACTTTTTTTTCTAAAATTTTTATTCCTATAACCGGCGTGAGTTACTTTCGTTTTCACATTTTATATTAAAATTCATATCAAAAAACCATTAGTATATGAACAAAAAAGACAAAAAGGAAAAAAGAAAGAACAAGAGAAAAAATAATAGTTGTTTTTTGGTTTTATTTCCCTTTATTAGTCAGTATCAATATCGTTATCTAAATCGCTCAACCAATATAAAACCATTAATTGTTTTAGTTGTTCGGAAAATGTCTTACCTGCTCTCTTATTTGGTGCTCCAAGATATAAAAGTATAATGCTATTGTTTTTTTTTTTGAAATTATTAAAATACAAAATAAAAATCCAATCATACTGTCTTGTTCACCTTGTTATTTCTCAAAATCAATAGATTAAACTCGATTTATTGCAATTAAGTTAATAATTATTTAAACAAATAAAATATTTTAATGGAGAATAGCTATTCCAGAACCCTTGAAGCCTTGGATATATCATGCTCAAATCATTCGTCGCAAATTAATATAACCTGCAAAAACACTGACTATAATAGAAATACAAACTTTGCAAAACTAAAATTCCAATGCCTGGTATGTGATAAGGTTGCTTTATATTGCTCATTTGATGCTTCGCAAAAATATTATCTAAATAATTCTCCATTTATAATTTGTGCAAGTTGTTCGAACCAAACCAATCTAAACTGCCATCGCTACCAATATGATAACAATATCATCGATCTAAAGTGTTTATACTGTTATGCCAATCATGCTTGCGTAAGATATGTTCCAGGAGCTAACCGGAAGCTGCTTGATAACTTTTTGAATAAATATAAAACTGAGGAAGATGAGAACAGCGAACCAGATGATAACTATTGTTATTATAACAAATTTTACTGATGAGACTCGATGTGCAAAGCACATAACAAAATTCGTCAGTTAAAATGGTTTCCCAGCAGATCAGCTAACTTTTTTGTAAAACTTGATGCTGCACTTCACCAAAAGGCTGTCTTGCTGCATCTACAACAAAACAAACAAAACGCTGTTCAGATTCTTACCTTTGCTATTCGAATATACTCATCACCATCAATACTTTCCTTACTTTAATAAAAATTTCTATGGCTGGGTTTTTTCCCAAAAACTTTCTCGGGAATCGAAAACAGGCCCCGCTTCTAACCGACTGCGGGAAACGGGGTCGTTGAGAGCGACCCGCATAAATATATTTTCTTTTGAAATTTTTTATCGCTGATTTTTAGTTGAATAGCTTCAAGTTTACAACAACAGACATTTTGGTTTCAAGTTAAAGAGCATTGCAATGGCAAAGGCAAGGGGAAGAAGAGAGGCCAAAAAGCAGGAGAAACAGGAGGGACAAGAGAAGAAGCTCGAAAAAGAATTCAAATCTGCCTTAGAATCTCCCGAAGATGATCTCAAAAATCACCATCAAGAAGAGATTTCTGATGTCCATTTGGTGCCTCAGCTAGTGAAAGAAGCACTTCCTACAACATTTTTTGGCTTGCTAGATAAACCAGAAAAACAGTTTTTTTTGGAGGCTGAATCAACGTTGAACATCAATGTGTTTGACAACGATGAAGAAAAACAAAAGTATATTAATTCCATTTTCAATGAAGTTAAAGGAAAAGAATTAAAACTAGTAACTGATCAAATATGCTCCAAGTTGATGGAAAGATTAATACTAGAAGCCAACGACAGCCAATTGAAAAATATTTTCCAATCATTTGAGGGTTTTTTCGTTAAAATAGCTCACCATAAGTACTCATCTCATTGCTTAGAGACACTATTAGTTAGATGCGCTGCGTTAATAGAAAAAGAGCTTTTAAATCCAAATATACTTTTACAAGAGTCAATTGATTCAAACGAGGAATACTCGCCTATGGATTCAATGTTCATATTCATGATAAACGAGTACATTCCTTATTTGCAAGAAATGTTGGAAAATCAATATGCATCACATACCTTGAGATTAATTTTATTGATTTTGGCGAGCAAAGAATTGCCATCAACGACTGTTTCAAATTCAACATTACGATCAAAGAAATCAAAGGTTGCAAGAAAAATGATCGAAATAAAAGACAATGAGGATTTTTCTAAGAATTATCAAGTTCCTTCTACTTTCAAATTTGAATTGAAAAAAACAATTTTAAACTTGACGCAAGGTCTATCTATAACAAAATTAAGACAGCTATCTATAGATAAAGTCTCCTCACCTGTAATACAGATCATTATAAAAGTGGAGTCGATTTATGACAAAAATAAAACAATTTATAATACAATTTTTAATGCCGATGAAAAAGAATCCGCTTACATGGAATACTGCTTAACTGATCCAGTGGGTTCTCATTTCTTGCAATTTGTAATCATGAATACCAAATCAAAATTATCTGAAAGATTGTTTGAAACTTACATGAAAGATAGGCTAATGAAATTAGTTAATAGAAATACCACTGCTGTCTATGTTATTCAGAGTTTATTGCAGAAATTGAAAACCACTTATGTAAAGCAAATCTTAGACATACTTATGCCCAACTTTAATCAAATAACAGATTTAAACTTGGAACTAAGTCAAGATATATTGGATAAAGTAATGGAGAGAAAAGCTTACAAAAAAGATTTAATTATACAGCAGGTTTTATCAAAATATTCATCTAGTTCTTTGAGTAATAAATTTATCGGCAATAACAGCCAACCTTTATTGGCACCAGCTATTTCCATTTCCGTTTCACAACCAGACCTCAAGGAAATTAGTGAGTCCAAAAAGGAAGATGAAGATCAGAAAATCAATTTATTGGAAAGTATACTCAAATTATCCACATCCACTCTTGGAAACATCAAAGACGATTGGCCAACAGCCGAAGAAAGAAGAAACTCTATATTTTTAGAAAAATTGATATCTTTTGATGAAAAGTTTCTTGTATTAACTTTTGATACGTTATTAGAATTGCCAAGGGAAAGATTTATTCAAATGTGTTTTCATGGAATATTTTCTCATGTAATTGAAATTATTCTTTTGAGTCCAGAGAAGTTATCAACAATCCAAAGAAGAAAATTTTTGAATTGTTTCGATGGTGAAATAGTAAATCTATGTTGCAATGTTTACGGATCTCATGCTGTCGATAAACTTTGGTGGTTTAGTTCTAAGCTTCCTATTTATAAAGAAAGAATTGCAAATGAGATGGTAAGCGAGAGTCTTAAAGTGAAAGAAAGTAATTATGGAAGATTAGTTTGGAAAAATTGGAAATTGGAATTATTTACCAGAAAAAGAGTTGATTGGAAGGCTGAAGTTAGAGAAAGTGATAATCAGTTTGATAAGGCTGTTGAGGAGTTATCAAAGAGAAATGAAAAAATCAATGAAAAAATGAAAAACCAAAACAATAATAATGACAAGCAAAATAAAAAACAAAATGAAAAACAAAACGAAAATAAACAAAAAGAACTGAAAAAACGTCCTCATGAAACAATTGAAAATTACGTTCAACGAAAGAGTTCGAAAAAGCCGGAAAAACTTCGTGGTCGTAAATTAAAAAAGTCGAGAAAAGCGAAAACTTAGAATAGAATCAATTATATGGATATTTATTAAGGAAAAATTAATTATATATTTTTTGAGTATAATATAGTGATATGCTGAAAATAACAGTTTTATAGTTAAACGTAGATAGGTAATAAAAAAACAAATATAACAGTTTTAAAGAGGTGAGAAAAATTTAAAAAAAAATGATAGAATGAAGTAGACAAGAGAAAAAAAACAAAATAAAAAAGTAACATAAAATTATCTCAAAAAACAGCACAAAATAAAACAACAACAAACAAAAAAAAAAACAACAAACAAAAAAAAAACAACGACAAACAAAAAAAAACCAACGCTTTAGACATTTGAAAAAAAATTAAAAAAAATAAAAAAAGGTCAATAAAAGCAAATCTTGAGAACCAACATTTAGTTAATAATAAAAATGTGAAAATTTTCATGAGAAAAAAAAAGATATGAGTTTATATTAATTTGAAAAACAGTTCACAAATTAATTTTTAAAAAAATTTAATGGTAATTCAAATATCAGTTTTGATTATCATTTCTAGTTTGAATTTTATGTATCTCATTAGCATTTTCTCTAGCTACCTGGGCTCTTGATTCAGGAGGTAATTCATTATCAGATATTTCGTCCTCCTCGATCTCACTATTGTAGCTTAATTGGTCTTCATCATCATATACATCGGTGTTTTCAGCTCCAGCTGGAACTTGGTCTGAAGGGACTCTTCTTTGGAAATCTTTAGCGTGTGCATTAGTAATAACTCTACTAAGAGTTCTAATAATACGTGCTTTTGAAGCTAATGAACCAGCAATAGAAGGAGCACCACCTGTAAAATTTTGGGGAGCTGAGCCGTATTCTCCATGGTGGGAAGTTCTTGATTTTGTTGAGAAGCGGCGATAGAATGGAGTATGAGGAGTTTGTGGAGTTTGTGGAGTTTGAGGAACATATTCATTGTGATCTGAAAAAGCAGCTTCTTCATCTGATTGAATAGCAAATTCTGGTTCCTCTGTAACTGGAGCAAATCTTGGAGATTTGATTGAATAAGCATGAGATTTGATTGAAGGTAAAATTGGACGAACCGGTTGAGTGACTTCAGTTTCATTTTCTTCCATAATGACATTAATTTTATTTGGGTTGATAAGAGCCGATTTTGGTTTTCTAATTGTAACCCTTCTAATAACTGAATAAGGCAAGGGAATTTCTCTTGAAGCCTTTAATAAAGCAACGTTGGTGCAATGTTCATTTTCCATTCTGAAAAAAATCCAGATAAATCTTCTTATTACTTCGGCAAATGCAACAAAAAAACTGGTTATGGGGCTAAAGCGAATTGCTTCAGTGAAAAAGGCATAAAAGACCCATTGGAATCTTAAGATTATGTCTTCAACGATAGCAAAATAGTAGATCCAAGGATTCTTAAAGGCCAAGCTATCTCTTAATAAGAAATTTTTTGAGCCATATTGACCTAAAGACCAATCCATAAAGATATCCCAGATACCCGAATAAGTGGAGTTAATGATTGCAAAAAAGATAAAAATGGTTCTATTTGTTGGAGATCTGTCGATTCTGTAAATTGATAGTGTCATGTAATAGATGGTTGCAACAAAATATTTCAACATGTTAGCCAAATGTGGAAACTTATCACCAGTGTCAGCGTATCTTCTGTAGCATTGCAAGAATCTCCATAAGCCAGGCAAGGTTTGTAAAAAACCCATGATTCTTGATTTTGATGAAGAGCAAGGAGAACATGATTGACAACCATCTAAAATCCCTTCAAATTTTGTTGAATAAATGCAGATGGTGAAAGCGATATTACTCAAGGCATAAGTTAACGAACAAAAAATATCCCCTAAAAAGAAATCTCTAAATTCAACGGGATAAAAGCCGGACAATAGTAATCTCCAAATTGCAATTTGGAACCATCTTCTTGAATGGTAGTAGAATATTTTGAAGGGCATTAAAAAGACACACAAGACAAAGCCCACAAAGAACCAAGGCAAGTATCTCCCAGGTAGAATAGAGTTGGGATAATCAAAGTTTGAAAAGGATAAGTAAGTAATTAGAGACCCAACAAATAGAAATAAGGAAGGGAGCAAAAAAAATTGTTTATAATCTAGGCAATTAAACGTGTTAAATTCGAAAATAAACTGATAATTGATTTTGTAATAATTCCAAACCAAACAGTTGACACCAAAGGATAGATACATGATGCAAGGAATCAAGAAACCACCCCAAATTTGGAACAATGTCGCGCCCTCCGGCAACTCATTATTGGAAATTTTCATTGCACCAAGAACAATGGATATGATAAGAATAGGCAAGGCAATACCGAGAAACATGCCTGAACTGAAAACCGAGAAATAGTATGTTTGAGGAATTTCTTTTCTACGTAATTTTTCAATGGCCAACTTTCGATTACCGTTTTCAAAGTTGTTTGAATACATGTCTTCGATTTTGGGGATTAGGTTGTCCAAGACATCACTTGAAGAGAAGTAGCAATTGTTGACTTTATTCATGTAGATGGGTAATAATTTTGAGTTTGTTAGTTTATCGAATTTTTTTATCATTTTTCTGAAGGCGACTCTATTAAGGGATCTGTAGTTTTTGACCAAATCAGTAAAGTGATAGAATTCCAATACGGCCAATTTTAGTTGTCTTCTAGCCAAGGGATAGGGAATCTTTTTATAATCAATAACCTGAGGATTTTTTCTTCTGTAATCTCTCTTATTGAAGGCAGGATCATCTTGGGTTTTAGCATTTTTGGTGTTGGAAACTAGTAGATGGGGACTGTTTATATTAATACCAGTAGCATCATTATGGCTGAGGTGCTGTGCGATAGTCTCATCATCATTATCAGAACCCTCGAGTTTGTTAACTTCGAAATCAAAATGGTTATTATTAGAATCAGATAAGCTCTGTGGATTGAGGGCTGTTGGAAGAGCCAGATCAGAATTAGGATTTGAAGCTGCAAGGGACCTGGAATTGCTATTGCAGAGAGCATTGGAAGGGCCATTGGTGTTGGACTCAGAGGTGGAATGGTTGGCGTTGAAGCTGTCGTCGGAATCGTAGTCGTAGTTGAAATCCGACTCAAACTCAGAGTCGGTGGGTTTTTCGTTTTTCAGGGAACTGTTTAAGAAAATCCTTCTTGGCAAAGTTGGCATTTCAAATTTCTCAATCGTTTTGGAAGTGGCTCGTCTGGTCTTTTTAAATAGCCCCGTTTTTTTTCTCGATAGCGCCGGCAATTTGTGGATGTCGAAACCGGGAGCACTATTAATATGCTTTGTGTCTTGAGCAGAGTTGCTATTTAAGGAAGAAATAGGCGTGTTGGGAGGATTGGGATTCTTGGTTTCCAAGTCAGCGAGCCTAAGGGAGGTTCTAGATCGGTTTCGTTTGATGAGCTTGATCTTGTGGTCGTTGAGCTGGTACATTTGGTCTTGTAACAAGAGATATCGATCGAGGCAGTTCTTTTCCTTTTCCTTGTAGAAGGTGTCGACCTTGAGCAACTGGAGGTCCAACCATTTAAGGAAATCCATTTTCTGAAGTTCAATGTTGTTTAAAACCATCAAGTTTGTGTTATTACGGCTCATGTTGACGGTGGAGGCCTGATGCTGGTTGGTGAGAGGTGTAGCGTTGAGATTAGGGTTTGTGCCGAAGAGGTTCGACAACAGTTTGGAAGATTTAAATGATTTCTTGGACCTGATGTTTCTTAACGATGTCATGGTTCTTTTTAGTGAGGAATTTTGCGAGAGAGAGTTGAGAAAGGAGGTCTTGTCGGATTTTTCCTGTTTGGAGAGTCGTGGAAGGGTGTTTTTGGCATCGTGAGCATTTGCAGGCGTCTTGGGGGCCAGAGCATTGGAAACGTTGGAGTTGATGGTGTTGTAAGTGGAATAGGTGTTGCCGTAGGAGTTGTAGGAATTATAAGAGCCGAATTTGGGGTCGTCGGGATGGAGGGAAGGTTGCTGTGAAAGAAATTCGGGGCTTTTGGTCTTGGACATCGCTTCCATGAGAGGAGTTCTTTCATTTTGGCTTTGGTATTCATTGTTGGCAGTGGGTTTCTTGACGTTGGTACTGTTGCTGTTGCCGTTGTTGTAGCTAATAGCAGGTGGGGGTAGTTTGAAGGAGAAAGAAGAGTTTGAAAATCTTCGTTGGTGGGTATTGTTTGGAACTGATTTAGAAGTCAGATAAGGGGTATTTGTGTAGCTGAAGTTATCATTGTTATGAAAATTTGGATTGTGATCTAAAGGATCAACTGGGGTATCATTTTTAATAGAGCTTGAAGAGCTTATCTCAATGTCGTTGTTGTTATTTTTATCGTTATCGTTATCGTTGCCGTTTTGGTTTTGGTTTTGGTTTTGGTTTTGGTTTTCAGTTTGGTTATTAGGATCATTGTTTATATTATTGGATTCGTCATTTTGTTGGTAATAATAATCAATAAAATTGAAGTTGGAGTAAGCGTTGGAGTCATAAATTGAGTTCTGTTTGTTGGACGCAAAAGAGTTGAAGTTTGAATTAAGAGCAGATGAAGGTTTGGGGATCCTTTTCAATATTTTTTTACCTTCTTTATAATTTAAATATTTGTCCCTCCATTCTGGAATCAAATTATCGTTTAGATTCTGCGCAAATTTCATTGTCGGTGATAATTTTGATGGATTGGTGGGTATTAATTACGGATTTTATTGCTTGATGAATTTTGATTGTCTCGAATAGGATGGTAAATGTGGTTGTGGTTGTGGTTGTCCTTGTGGTTGTCCTTGTTTTCAGTGAGTATGTTTGTGTTTACAAGTGCTTTATGGTGATAGATCAATGGAATACTGGGATATTTAGATAGTAGACATCTCTAGGAACTGGATCAGAGTAGCTTGAGAGGAATTGCAATAAATAAACAGAGAGAGAGTTAAGTAGTGAATAAAAAGTAAATATTGATTTCTTCATCTGAAATAATCCAAATATATATAAATAACTCTAAAAGGACCTTCCAGGAGTCAGCTGTGCTCGCACGCGGGTGCCTTGTGCGCACTTGCCGCATTTAGCAAGAGGAGACACCGTTGGCCAATCACAGACCGTGCTCCGAGACTCTTGCAGCTTCCGCTCCACACCACTGGATCTCGGCATATGAGCGGCCATTCACAGGACGCCCAAAGCAGCAGCACCGCTCGCGTGCGGACAGAAAAATTTTGCGTTGTTTTGTACCACACCGGTGGACGGAATGTGCTGCTTGGCAAAACGTGTAAATGCGCGTCTGTGCATAGCGCCCGCTCCAGTGGTGCGTTTTGTTTTTCAGTGGAAACCTTCGAATGAGTGGAATCGGGAGCAAGATATAATACTTTTTGGTGGCAGCTCACATACAATTCAGATACACTCAGATTGACAATGGTCATTCCCTTGGACTTGCTTCTTCAGGCAGGTTTTGCTGTTGAAATATTGGCAGTTTTTTTTGTGAAACTGTTCAAACCACTCAATGGGTTTCTTCGATATGGCAAGACTCTCTCTGGCTATAGCACTACCAAGAGTACTAAGAACAAAAACAGCAGGTTTAACTTATTTTATTTGCTTAACATCACTGTGCCAAAATACTATTTCTGCCATTTCTATATTTTAGCCTCTATATTGTCACTATCTGCTTATATCCTTGTAAATTGTACTGATAACTCAACCAAACTTTCCATACTAGGCTCTATTTACAATCGGTTTATTTATTTTGATTATCATGCTGTTAGTGACTTATACTGCCTTCCAAGACTAAAGGCCTACTTGAACTTGTTTATAATCCACTCAATCAGAAGATTAGTTGAATGTTTTTTTGTTTCAAAATTCAATAAACATTCAAAGATGAATATCAGCCATTACTTGGTTGGAGTTTATTTATATTTATCGATCAATTTGAACATGATTCTATCCTTTTCAATCACCAGTTGTTTCACTCATAGTGCTTATGATAATAATGATGATGATAATAATAATATTATTATTATTAATACCAATAATATTAATCCTCCTCAATTAATATTGATTTTATTTAATTTATTTTGCCAGGCCAACCAACTTTTAAATCATTTGCACTTGTCGAAAACAGTTAAATACAATCAGCCAGACACCGGCTTATTTAAATACATTTTAAATGCTCACTATTTCAACGAAATTCTAATTTACTGTTCATTTTACCTACTTGTCCCAAACTTAACCAACTTATTGATACTAGTTTGGACTTTTACCAATTTGTCTATCTCAAGTTGCGAAAATTATAAATTTTATCTCAACCAACGAATCTCTAAAGGAGACATCAACGATGATATCAGTACTGCTAAAATAAATCAAAAATGGATATTAATACCCTTTTTCTTCTGAAAATCACCATCTGCCTACAGCTTCCTTCGCCTTCATTCATCCTGTTCCTACAAGTGATGCCATTCTTTTCATTTTTTCAATTCCTATCATTCTCGCATTGTACTAACTACTGTGCTAATTGCCCACTGTTTTGTTATAACTTCTAACTTCTAAATACACTGACAACAAGAAATGCCTCTTTGTGCTTTTGCATTTTCTGCATTTTCCATATTTTCCACATTTTCCAGCTCTTCTACATTTTCTGCATTTCTGTTTCTTTCTATCCTTTATCGCTGTTGTGTCTCATAGGCTCCAGCTCCTATGTGCAATTACCATCTAGCACGTTGCTGCTGTGCTCAGCTATCGGCTCCTGGCCAACAATCTCCAAAATGTTTCACAATATCCTCTTGATAATTCTCAATTTGGGTCCAAAATGCCTGGAGATCTCACCTGGAACACACTTTTAGCTCTACTTTTAGTATTGTTTTAGCTCTACTTTTAGCTTTGCTTCAACTCTGTTTTGCCTCTTTAACGTTTGGCAAGGTTTTTCAGGTTTGGCAACTTAAAACTGCTCAAGATCGATTAAGATCAATTAAAATCAATATTCTCCAATACTCTCCAATAGCCTGCGATCTTTTGCTTGTACAGTAAATGTGTAGCCGTTTAATAAACAGTCTTATCCACCTAAAACACTATCAAGATAATATTAATTATCAAACTGCGACTGTCAACACTAGCTTTTACGTCCATTTGTACATCTTTTATACCTTTTATACCTGTTACACCTTTTACATCTTTGTTTTTAACATCCTCTTCCAAGTAATCCACCAAAGAATGTTCTTCTAACGACATGTTTTTCTATCAGAACCTTTGACCTGTAACTTGCTCTTACTCTGTTCGAATAGATCGAACTCAAATGCGTTATTCCCTCTCTTTTCTCTTGTTTCCTCTCTATTCTGTCCACTTATTCCAACCATAACCACATCTCCACTGCTATTTCGCTTCCACTTCACTATCAACCTTAACAATGTAACAGGCTTCAACAATAATCGCTTTGAGACCCTCTTGTTCTAGTACCTTGATAGCTTCGCTTCTATACTCAACCTGTTGAAAATCTTCCACTGTATCTTTGTCCTCACGAATATCTCTGTGAGAATTTGTTGCCAACCAAAAGAATTTGCCTGTTTCTGCCAGCAATAACAGCAGCTCTGCTTACATACCATCCAGCCCACATATCCACTTGCTGCTGATGTCCCATCTTCCTACAAACCAGTCCTGCAAACTGGCCATAAACACTTCTCAAGAACCTCCTTTCTCTCTCTTCTTTTCTTCCAGTGCCAACTCCAGTAACCACTAGCGTCTTATTGTATTAGCCAATATTACTCAATACAAGCCTAGGATAGAGGCTGTTTTCCTCAATTTAAATTTGAATTCTAAACGTTATTCCTGAATGCTATTTCGCTTCCCATTCTCATTTGAATACACCTTTTTTTTTCAACCACTTAAAACACTATCAACATTTCAACACTTTTCCTATTTATATTTGTCCTTTTGCATTTTATCTATTTATTTGTTCCCAGATTACAATTTACTTGCACACCACAACCCAAGCTTAAAGCCTATTTGCTTATAATTTCCCAACGATTTGCTATTTTGTAATTGCTTTTGTTTTAGATTGCCAACCTATTCATATTTGATCAATATCAATTTATCAATTTATCAAATATATCAACATTTTCAGTCCACCTCTGTATATTTCTCAATACCTTAATGTATCATTTGCGATTATCATTCACTTTTTAATCCTCTGACTTTATGTTCCAATGTACCAATGTTCCAATGTCTAATTTTTATTTTATATTCTTCTGTATTATTTTGTTAATGTTCCAGTTTTCCAATTTTCCAATGTTCTACAAGTTCTCATTTTAGCATGTTTGGATAATCAATATAAATAATTTACAATTTCTTTGGTTTATCCCTCGCAATTATTTTTCTTTTTCTTTCTATATTTTGCTGGCTTCTATTGTATAAATTGTTTTTAATTCTCTAGTCAATTTTTATTTTTTTTACCATAAAAAAATAAAAAAAAAAAAAAATTGCCTGTGATTTACTTTATTTCTCGTTTTATTGAGTTTTTTATTGTCAATTTATTAATACTATAAATTGTTGCTGCCCACTATTTACTCTATTTTACTTAAATCAATTCAATTTCGAAAAACAATAAACAATAGAAACTAATACACACAATAAACATGTCTGAAGATATCGAAAAAAAACCGGCTTTAGAATCTACCAACTCTTCCTTCGATGAAGACCCAATCTCAACAACCGGCGAGATTAAACATGCCAAACAATTTACCAAATTTGATAAATTTGCAAAGGTTCTTAAGGCTGAAATTAGAGGTGTTGAAAGAGTCCCAGAAAATGAAAAAACAGATGCCTCTCTATGGTCTGCTGCGTCAATGTGGTTGGCAGCTAACATGGTTATCTCTACCTTCTCTCTTGGTGCTTTGGGTGTTACTGTTTTCGCTTTAAATTTCTATCAATGTCTTCTTATAATTATTTTCTTCAATTTTATGGGTACTAGTGCTGTTGCGTTTTACTGTGTTTTTGGTGCAAAGTTTGGTTTAAGACAGATGATTCTATCAAACTTCCTTGTTGGTGTAGCTGGAACTAAAATTTTTGCTTTTATTAATTTGGTTGCTTGTATCGGTTGGGGTTCGGTTAATATCATGGCTTCTGCTCAATTATTCCACATTGTTAATAATAATGCTTTACCCCCATGGGCTGGCTGTTTAATCTTAGTCATTTGCACTGTCCTCGTCTCATTTTTCGGTTATAATGTTATTCACACTTATGAAAAATTCTCTTGGATTCCAAATTTATTTGTCTTTATTGTCATCATTGCAAGAATGTCCATGTCTGGTAATTTCACTCCTGGTGAATGGGCCACTGGTAGAACTGGTGCAGGTAATGTTCTTTCCTTTGGTGGTACTATCTTTGGTTTCGCTGCTGGTTGGACAACTTTTGCTGCTGATTACACCACTTATATGCCTTCCAACACCAACCCTTACAAGATTTTCTTCTCTGTTCTCGCAGGGTTAACAACCACATTAATCTTCGCCATGACCTTGGGTGCTGCTTGTGCTACCGGTACTTTATCAGATCCTGCTTGGGCTGATTTGTACAACGAGTTCTCTATTGGTGGTTTGGTCTATGCTATTCTAGTCAGAAAGTCTTTGCATGGCTTTGGTGAGTTCTGCTGTGTCTTATTAGGTCTATCAACTGTTGCAAATAACTTACCAAACATGTATTCCATGGCCTTATCTGCCCAAGCTTTCTCCTCTTATTTCAGAAAGATCCCAAGAATTTTCTGGACCTTGTTTGGTAACTTTGTTACTTTGGCCATTTGTATTCCTGCTTACTATGAGTTTGCTGAAGTTATGCATAACTTTATGAATTTAATTGGTTATTACTTGTCCATCTATATCGGCATGAGTGTTTCCGAACATGTCATCTATAGAAAGGGCTTTAAAGGTTATAACCCAGAAGACTATCTTGATAGATCCAAATTGCCAATTGGTATTGCTGGTACTATTGGTTTCTGTTTTGGTCTTGCTGGTGTCATCTTGGGTATGAACCAAACCTGGTACCAAGGTGTGCTAGCCCACGAAATTGGTGACTATGGTGGTGATATTGGTTTTGAATTAGGTATGAGTTTTTCCTTTGTTGCCTTCAATATTGTTCGTCCTTTGGAAATCAAATATTTCGGTCGTTAAAACTGGATTTTATTGAGTCTAGTTATTCAATTCTTAAATATAACTAATTGATTTTTGCTACCAATCAATTTTTTTTTTTTTTTTTTTGTTTGCAATTTCTTTCATTTTAGTTTAGTTCATGTATCTTTTTTTCTTTTTTTCTTTCAAATTTTGCTTTTTATTTCAATATGACAAGTCAGTTTTATTACCTCTACTATTTTCATTTCTATCATTTCCATCATTTCCATTCCTGCTTTTATTTTTCATTATTTTCCCTTGGAATACAAATACAGTTTACAGTCGTCGATGAGTCAAACCTTTCGGTGTAATTGGATTGGTCAAATAAAACTACTGGTGTCTATCATTGTATTGTCGGATCACCAACCCAGAAATACTTCGACCTGGAAATCTCTGATTTTGTATATATATATATATGAAACTGGGTCTTATAGAAACCAACAAAAAAAAAACACTGGCTATTGAATAAACCACTCTAACTGCAGTATACTTATCAAGTCATGGATTTATTGGATAGTTTAACTGACAGAATCTTTTTTGCAATTCCAAAAAGTTAGTATTAATGAAGGAAAAAAAAGGAAAAAAAAGGAAAAAAACAAAAATTGCTTTTTAAGTATTAGATCGGGGTCGCGAACAAAAAAAACAACAACTAACCAACTAATAATTTTTAAACTAGAGGGAAGAATTCATGACAAGTGCTTGGAATTGTTGAAGGGTGCTGATATTCAATTTCGCAAAATCGATAAACGACTGGATATTGCTTTATCTACAAACTTGCCCATTGCCTTGGTGTTTCTACGTGAGTCAGATATTCCAATCTTTGTCTCCAAAGGCAGATGTTCCATTGGTATTGCCAACTCGTTTCAGATCAAGGAGTCGATTTATTTCAATAAACAAGGAAGCGATGAGCTAAACCATCTTTTGGATCTCACTGGGTATTTCGATATGATACCAAAGTTGTGCTTGCAAGTCCCCAAAAGCAGCCAAATAAGAGATCCAAAGGAACTAATTGGCAAAACAATAACCACCAATTTTGTCAATATTACCAGGGTCTATTTCATGAAATTGGAGGGCAAATCCAGTATCAATGAGATATCAACTAAAGTCAAGTTTGTGTCTGGGTCAATCGAGGCATCTTGTGCCTTGGGCATCGCTGATGGGATTGTTGATTTGGTTGATTCAGGATCAACAATGACATTGTTGAATTTGATCAATTTGGAAGACTTGTTTGAGTCAATCAAGAACGAAGATGAAATCAAACCAGGAGTGGAGCTCATCACCTCCAAGAAGCCATTATTTTCAGAACTAGTCGAGCTCATAAAACATAGAATCGAGGCTGTTTACCACATAAATGAATACTGCTACTGCAATTACAATTGTCCCAAGACCAAGTTGGACGACATTTTGAAAGTTACACCTTACAAGAAGGCACCCAAAATTGCCCCCTTAATCAGCGCAATATCGCTCGAGAATCCTGACGATGAGCAATGGGTTGCAGTAGGAGTTTTGATTGAAAAGGATAAAAGTGGTGTTATTATGGACGTTTTAAGAGAGAATGGCGCAGAAGATGTTTTTTTGCTTGATATCAGCAATTGCAGAGTATAGGAAAGATAGGCAGATCGTATAATATAGATATGAGTATGTAGATATAATTATAAATAAGAAATATGCAATGTGACTGGCAAGGGAAGTACAATAGAAAACAATAGAAAATTAATATTATGCTAAATTGATAGATCCTGTGCAAAGTATATGGTATATTGGATGGTAACCACTAAGAAAAATAATATCAGATAGTAGTAAATGTGCAAACTGAGTAAGCAACTGAATGAATAGGGAATTGCTTTGGTTCAAGTAAAACAGTAATAAATAATCATAAAGGTTGTACTTGTAATCAATGTCATCAAATAATTGACACCATTGTTACTCAAAATATCTAATCCAGAAACCCTCTTGATGTTTTCAATCTTTTGCAAAGAGCTAATCTTTTCGCCATTTAGAGACTCGATAATCTTGTGGGAGTCAGAGCTTGCAACAGACAACTGGAGCGTAGCGCCCATATAAGAGTCTAGTAAAGTGCCAAACAAACCACTTAAAACAATCAAACTGAACACCAGCAACACTCTGGCACCCCCATCGAGAACTGTAAAGTCCTTGAAAATAAACTGGAGAAACCCCACTGAAATAATAGCAATGGACAAGGCCCCAGACACACCAGAGGCCAATCCAAAGAAAGTTACACCACCATTGGTTCCAGGAGGGCATTTCTTGAAATTAGTGATAAGGATGGGCGAAGATTCAGATAGAATTCCTAGCTCAGAGGACCAGGTGTCTGAAATAACAGAGGAGTAGTTGGCGATTATTCCAATGATAAGAGACTCGTATAACTTGCTGGAGGGAACTGACTGAGAACTCGAGACATAGCGGTTTTCAAGGTCTGAGAGATAAACTGCCAAGATGAGAACAGTTGAGGTGAAGGAATTGGCTATGACCTGGACATGGTTTCTGGCTGAGTGGTTGATTTTGTGTTGAGGATTGTCAGTGATTGAGACTGTGATCAACTTTTTGAGCTTTCTCTGAGCTTTAAACTTTGTGAAATAGGTGCTGGAGACAAAAAACCAGACCACCAAGAGAATATATAGGTTAGAGGATAGTAGAAAACAGTGAATTAAACCAGTAACCAAAGCAGTAAAGCAGCCAAGGTTGGTTAGAGTCTGCTTTTTGTATGTTCTATAGCTGATGGAGAGCAATAGAAGAGCTCTGAAGATGTATGAGTAAACCGATATCATCACGAGCTGGACTGAGATACGATGGCGATAGCGATGGCTGTATTATAATTATGCTATATAGATGTAGGTGTATTATATAGATACAATTGTGCAACTGTATTATCTGAAAGATGGTGGGAAAGAACCAAGGCTATTTATCTGAGCAGTTCTTTGGATTAAAACTGATTAGAACTGATTAGACAAAGACTGAGAGAAAACGAACGAACAATTCAGCAGATTTGTTTTCGCTGACGTAGACAATCTGTTGGATATTTGCTATTTGCTAATGAATAGAGAAGAGATCTTCTAGGTTCCAGTGGTTATTTTATTCGCGATAAACATTTGATGCAAATTATTATCTCTCTCCTGGATTCCAGACTCCAGTAAGACCTTTGATGCTCACACTTCATACAGGTTGGAGAGCCATTGAGATTGTGCTGGGTGCACATATGGCATTTCCAGAAGATGGATTCCAAAGGCATGTTTTGTTTGTTGTTGGGGGAATAAAGATGGTTTTTTTGAACTGTAGAACTGGTGCTAGACTGTTAGACGGTTAGTTAGAGTGATGGCTATTTATTGCAAAGCATTGAGAGAGCTTACATACCCAAATAAAAGGGAAATCAGTTGGTTGGTGGTTGAATTGACTTTGATACAATGGCGAAATATTTATCGAGAAATACAGTGTATTTATATCAGAATCAGCCTGTTTTCGGGCGATTATTCTATTTTATTTATTAACTGTGATCTGATTCATTATTCATGACACACTCCATCATTGATCATTGATTGTTGGACCTCAATCATGTTTGACCTCATTCATGATTAACCAGTCTCAAAATAACCAAGATGTGGAAAGGTTTTAGAGCTGCACTTATCGATCGAAGATTAGTTTCAAAATGAATTTTTGGGCTTGAATTTGACAAAAGGTAAAAGAAAAAACAACACACAAAAAGTCAAAAGCCAACAATTCGCTTTAACTTGATTCAACAATTCCCAACCCACTTTCTTTTAATCTAGCATTTGATAATTGCTAACCGGATTAGTGCATACTCAATCAGGCAGCAGCTAGCGATAGACAGTAATTAGATAAGTATATTTGTACAAATACCAGATTGAGTGTCTATTCTAGTATATTAGTCACTGTTTTGATATTAGATTCCACACTTTGGTTCTGATTCCTTTAGAGCTAAAGCTAGACTTGGAGCTGAAATGCAACAAATTAGATTTACAGAGCTAAAATGAGATCAAAACCAGATTCCTAATTATAATTCCATTTTCAATTACGTCTTTGCCATTTCTTCAGTTATCTTTCCAGCTGCGTCTCCATTACACTTCCTCTGCTTCAACAGCTCCATTTCTTGCTCCCTCATCTCAGTCAGACAAACACATTTCGACACAGGCGCATATGTGGGCCTCCAAATTGGCTGAAGTCATCATCAATCAACAACTCTCTTCTCACAAAGATATTCAGCTCAATGAGACCTTTTATTTTTATTTTGTTCTCTCTTCCCAGTAGCAAAAACACCGAAAGCACCAAAACAGCTTGTCGCCACATTCGCGGATCTGCTTCCATTTCGGGATGAGCATCACCAACAAAACACTTTCAACTTTGCAGGTCTTTAAGTCTTCAGATCTTTAAGTCTTCTCCATATCAGTGCCTTTAAACGTCTCTGCTGTGGTTGTTTTACTTCAGCTGTTGCTTCTTGCCCACAATGCGAAAGCTCAGGAGCTCCAACGACTCACCCTTCAACGACGATCTCTCCCTAGCCTCTTTTCCCTCCTCATCACGGCTTCTCGGCCCTGTTCTCAACAACACCTTTCACGAAATAGGCGACGATAACAGCCATGAGAATATCCACAACGATAGCGATGTTGCAAACAATACAGACTCCGATGGCAACAACAACACCAACAGATCTGAACCATTGAACGACAATACAATCATCAATAGCAACAATATCAGCATCAGAGAAAAGATCAGGTTGATCAACTTGAGCGAAACTAAAAACTTCAACAACTTCAAAACCATCGATTGGCTCAATGACGAAATACACCAAAGCAGTCTCAACAACCACACTGCTACTGCTAACAATAGCAACATTATAAGTGACGTTGATAATCTCTCGAATAACAATGCTAGAGTTATCAATTGGTGGGTTAATTTTAAACATTCGTCCAAGAATTGGTTCATTCTAACTGTAATTGGGATGATTATTGGTATAATAGCTGCATCATTGAATTTGATAACCAACTTTTTAAATGATTTAAAATTTGGTTACTGTTCAAACCATTTCTATTTGAACAAAAGCTTTTGCTGTTGGGGCGAATCGGAAATAAGCTGTTCAAACTGGGTCAGCTATTCCAACCCCGAGCATTATTCAGTACTCAATGCCATATCGTCATTTTTAATCTACTTGGTTTTCTCATTATTATTTGGTTTAATTGCCTCGATCTTGGTCAAATACATTGCTCCATTTGCTGCTGGCTCTGGAATCTCCGAGGTCAAATGCATCGTGGCAGGCTTCAACATGAACCAATTTCTCAATTTCAAAACGTTTTTAATCAAAAGCATAACTTTACCCTTAGCCATTGCTTCAGGTCTAAGTATTGGTAAAGAAGGTCCCACAGTTCATTACGCAGCCTGTGTTGGAAACTTTGTCTCGAAATTCATTAACAGTGATAACAGCAATAACAACTTTATCAATTTCAATGATTTGAAAGAATATATAACAGCTGCAACCGCTGCTGGGGTGGCGGTAGCATTTGGAGCACCAATTGGTGGTGTGTTGTTTTCGTTGGAGGAAATATCATCAATTTTTCAAATTTCTACAATGTGGAAATCATACTTTTGTGCTTTGATTGCCACTGGGATTCTATCGTTAATTAATCCGTTTCGAACAGGCCAATTGGTTTTATTTGAAATTAAATACAATGAAAACTGGAAGTTTTTTGAGGTTCCAATATTCATCTTGTTGGGTGTCTTTGGTGGCATTTATGGGCTTGTGATTAGCAAATTCAATAAAAAGTTTATAAAATTCCGACAGACTTATTTGAAAAATCTCGAAATTCAAGAAATTTTATTTCTAATTTTAATAACATCCACCATTTGCTATTTCAATCAATTTTTGAAAAAGGATTTGACTGAAACTATTGAAGTATTATTTCAGCAATGCTCCAATGATAGTGATAGCAAGGAAACAGATGAGTGGAGTCATTTTGTTTGCAATTTTCCCAACTTGAAAAAATTTGAAAAATTTAAAATCACCTCGTCTTTATTTCTAGCGATCATTTTCAGAATGGTTTTAATCATCATTTCTTATGGGTGCAAGATTCCCTGTGGTATATTTATACCATCAATGGCTGTTGGTGCTACGTTTGGCAGATTCATTGGTAATATAATTGAAGAAATTTACTCAAATTATCCCAATTTGAAAATCTTCAATAATTGTTTGCCGGACGAAAAATGTATTATTCCTGGAACGTATGCTTATATCGGTGCTGGTGCAACATTGAGTGGGATCACGAACTTGACACTAACTTGTGTGATTATAATGTTTGAATTAACTGGAGCACTACGATACATCATACCAACGATGATTTCTATTGGAATCACAAGAACAATCATTGACAAATATGGAAATGGTGGAATTGCCGACCAGATGATCAAATTCAATGGGTTGCCCTTTATTGATCCCAAGGAAGAACATAATTTTCATAATTTAGAGGTTTATAAAATCTTCAATAACAACTTGGGCCCAAATGAAACCGGTAATGGCAGTAATTCAAATGATGGATTGGTCGACAACAAAATTATATTTTTGACAGTCAAAGGAATGAAGCTAAAAGAGATAAATAAAATACTCAAAAAATTTGACTTTAAAACATTTCCTATCATTGAAATTAAAATTGACAGTGCAAGTAAAGAAAAAATTCCGTATTTTTATGGGTCAATAGAAAGAAAAGAGCTAATCTCAGTTGTTAACGAGTATCACAGCTCTCTTTATGATTACAATCCCGTCATTGAATCGATGGAGTCTATGAACAATAGCAATGACAATTTCAATACAGAGCTATTATCATTAAACGCCGAATGTGTGTTCAATAACCACATTCCTGACAATAGTATCGGGATTTATAACAATGAAAATCGGGAAGTTATCGACTTTAGCAATAAAGTGAATTTTTCAAACATAACAATTGATATTGTAACGTCACTAGAAAGTTTGTGTGAAATATTCTACAAGATTGGGCCCAGAATGATATTTCTAATCGACAAGGGCAAGTTTATAAGCTTGTTAACAAGAAAGGATATTTTAAGAATTGAATACTATTTTGAATACTTGGAAAATCAGGAAGAAGAAAAACTCATAGAGAGAGAAAGAATTAAGAAAAAACAAAGAAAAGAATCGAGAAGAAGAAATAGAAGAATCACCAGATCAATGCCCACACATGAAACAAATACGGGTGGAGATGGTAATTCTGTTGATTGATCGTGTCTGGAGGACAAGGGAAATTTAAGTGAATCAAAAAAAACGAACATAACGGCGATCTAAATTTGTAAAATGATTTATTTTTTTTCCTTTCTTTGATTTGCTTCTATAGTTATTTTATTTTGTTGAACATTCTTTACGGTTTTTTGGTTTTATTTTTTGGCTTTAAAACATTTGGAAGATTTACGTTTTGTAGATTGAGCCAAATTGGAGCAGGTGAATCGATTTTTTTGGTAGCAATCATTTTGTAATGATAAAGTGTACATTTTCGCAGTTAGAATTTCTGTTATTCAAGGCATTGAGTTTGTATTCAGCAAAGCCAGTTACATCCTTGAGACTGTTGGCAGATGCTTGACGTGATACTTAAAGTTTCTAGTATTGTTACCTGTGTTAGCTGACAGACTTTGGGTCTTAACAGAAACAGTTTGGGCAGTTCCTACTAAAGCAGATTGTTGGGCATTTCAAAACCAACTAAACAAAGATCGTAGACTCGAATACAATCCCAAACACACATTACTTATTTATTTCATTCAGCTCTCTTCAGACTTGCAAACTGTGTATTCTGGATACTGCTGCCGCGTATGTCTGGTACCTATAGAACACCTCAGTTTTGGTGGTGTCAAATCCAGCTGTTGATCTGATTAACTTTGGCCTTGCAAAATTGCTCCAAAGCTAGTAGCTGAAGCAGGCAAAGCTCTTCCTGTTCAGATTTACTATTACCCTCAAGAAAAAGCACTGAGGCCTGTTTCCAGTGCAAAACAATGAGCAAAATCGCACTTTTCACTAGGAAACGGGTGACTTTCTGGCTCTCACCAGTAAATACCATCTTTTGGAAGTAGAAACAGCAGTTTTTCGGTTGCAAATGTCGATCTGCTCTCCAGACAAAGTCCAAGCTGCAAAGGGCCAGAAAAATGTTATCTATTTGCCTGAGAGTCCAGAAAAGCCTGTTAAAAGAACCAAGGTGGATGCTATAGGCTTCAATGGCAATGCTCAGCTTCATTTTTCGAATCGAGGTGTGTCAAAACAACTATCTCTTCTAAAAACACCCAGTGGTAGATCGGGTTTAGTATCTCCCAACAAAAGATCAATTCGTGAGTTGGACAGCTCTGCGAAAAAAAAGGCTACTTCTTTCTTGCTTGAAAAGTTTAATGCAGCTGGGAACACCAACGATAACGACGATGATGACGATATTGGCGACTACAACATCCAGTTGGATTTTGCAAAAAACATAATACTAAACCAAACGCCAACCAAACAAAATGGCAATAATTTTAATACCAATAACACTAATAATGAAAATAATAACCAGATTAATGTCAAAAACTTTCAGAGATCGCCTGTTCCGAAATCCCAAATTCAAGAAGATCAACTAAACGACTATTTTGAAAATCTAGTCTATAATAATTCGAATGACAATGAAGGAAAATTATTATTTGTAGATGGACCAGAGAGTTATTTTGAACAACATAAATACAAAACTAAAATTTCCACAAATTCAATGTCGCAAGCTTCTGATTTAGATTATGACGAATTTAATAAATTAATAAAATTATCCGATTTATTATATTACAATGAAAAGCAAAATTTGGCGCTTAGTTACAAATCAATGTTTACACAATGGTTTTTAGAACTACAAAATGAGTTCAGTTTAAATTTTTATGGAATTGGCTCCAAAAGAAAAATCCTATTGCAATTTGTCAACCAGTATTTAATTTACCACATCGACTTCCCAGTGTTGGTTATAAACGGATACAATCCCTCAGTTTCTTTCAAAGAAATTGTTCTATCAGTCACTTCCACAATTATCAATTCAAATAAAAAATTGTTTAAAGCTCAAAAGTTTCCAAAATCAATTGATGAATTAATTGCTTCATTTATAATTTGTTTAAAAAACTTGCATGAAAGTCAGAGATATCCTAAACTACTATTATTGATTCACAACCTTGACGGCAACTCAATTAAATCCAACAAATTTCAGTCTTTTTTCTCAACTCTAGTATCAACAAAACAGGTCTGGTTGGTATCTTCAATATCTAACATCAATGCAAATTTGCTTTGGGATTGCAATCAAACTCTGGACTTCAATTTTTTATGGCATAACCTTTCTACTTTTGAAAACAGTACAGTTGAAACATCGTTCAGCGATATTCTAGCTTTGGGACAAGCCGAGAAACAAACTGGTTCAAAGGGTGCCAAATATGTTCTATCGTCTTTGACTTCAAACTCCAGGAGCTTGTACAGGGTATTGGTATCAAACCAATTGCAGATAATGGAGGATGAATTACTAGAGTCTAATAAACAAACCGATAGAAATGAGTTCCTAGGCACCATCAAGCATGGAATATCATTCAAAACATTGTATAATCTTTGTTCAGAGGAGTTTATTGCAAGTAACGAAATCAACTTCAGAACAATGTTGAGGGAATTCATTGAGCATAAAATGGCCAATATAAGCAAAGACTCTTATGGAACAGAGATTGTTTTTGTTCCGTTGAATTTGAAGGAGTTAGAGAATTTGCTAGCTGAAGAATTACTTGTGTAATTTCAAGCGAACTCGTATAACAGGACACGATAAAACTGTTGGTTTTTTTTGTATTCAAATAAACATTATGTAGAATCTACGAGTCATAAATAGTTAATTTTGAGCTGCATGTCTTTGAAGACTTGTCTTCCATAAATACAAATAATACAATCTTTATGATTATATGTATCATAATAGAACAATAAAAAGCATTGCTTGGATTTGATAAATGCAATTGTTTCTTCATTTCCATCGAAAACTGGTTCTCCAAGCGAATAAACCAGTCGAACCAATTGAATTGGTTGGATGGGTTGCATCTTCTCAACCAAACAGCCATCAGCCAGAGTTGCGATGCCCCAAATGCCCCACAACACAGCTGCTTCTGATCTGATTTCAGTTCCCAGTTACCACCAAATACATCGATTCTACACAATTTGTTGACTGACTCTGAGGTCCTCGAGCCTTCTATTCACTGGCTATTTGTGTGCTTGTGAGGAGTGGAATGTGATAATAATCAGTCGCACACACCAATCGCTGATACTTGATCTCGCTGATACTTGATCTCGCTGATACTTGATCTCGCTGATATTTGATATTGTTCACCACCCAATCTCAGCAATAGTGGACATACGTCTACAATGGAGGTTTTATGGTGAAATCTTGCCAATGACATCAGTAGGTTGGTGATGGCAAGAAGCAGAAAAAGCAGAGAAGAGAGAAAATAC